TTTTTTCTTAAGCACTGAAGTGCTGCTGGACACTTTCCCTATTGTTCAACTTGACTTGGAAAAATTGCATCTTTGCCAGTAACAAGTCTGGTACCAGTGGCATTTTTTTTTCTGGGAAGAAGTTGAGATGGAAGGGTTGAAACCTTACGTTTACCACATCCTGCTAGTATAAAAAGATTACATACTTGCTCTTTTCCTGCAAATTTGAAAGGAACAAAGGCAGGTAAACCTATGGGCTTATCTGAGAAGGCTATTGTGTTTCTGCTTGGCGTACCTCACTCCTTCAGGAGACAGGGTGCTGATAAGACAGGCAATTCATCTGACCCCACACTGCGAATCTTGTGTTACCAGCCCTGAATGCATGTGAATGTTAATACAGGGGGGGGAAAAGAAAAAAAAAAAAAAAAAAAAAAAAAAAAAGAGGAAAAAACAACAAAAATTTACATTTAAAAAAAAAAAAAAAGGAGTTTAGAAAAATGTCTGTAAACTATGCACCAGGAAAAATTCTGCTTTAAGGAAGAAGATTAAATAATGACATTTGAAGAAAAGTATGTAAACCTGAAAACAGCCTGAATTTGACTGGCTTTTGGCAATCTTGATCCTAGACGTTCAGAGTCCCATACTCATACTCTGTCCTAATGTGTGCTATCCTGGTCTTCCTCTTCCGTACAGCACTGTTATCAGGCATCTGCCAATGCCAGATTAACTTTATGCCATCCTGGTCCCTTCCTGCATGGTAGGAGCTGGCTTGCAGATGACTGCTTTGAAATAAAATGAGTAGATAATCTGAATTTGGTAGAAAACTTATGTCTGCGTACAATGGAGCAATTCGTAATCTTTGCAAAGGTTTGGGAGTTTGAACCAGAGATAGCTAAGCAGACTGGTTTCTTTCACGTCAGTTTAATTACTTGTTCTTGTAATGAAACCTTATTTGTAGCAGAGTAATAGAAAGACAGCATTGTGACATAAAAATTTCCAGCTGAAATAGTGGAAGGTAATTACAGGTTGTCCACTGGGTTGATACAATAATGTTTCATTTCAGAACAGCTGAGTTTTTTAACCCAAATGTAACCCTCTAGCAGATGCTTCTGTCAGCAATGAGAGGCATGTTTCAGTCTACCTTGAGCAGAAATGCTGGGAAAACAGAGGGTTTATGCACAAAAGAAATAGTCTTTTCAGAGAAAATAAATTTCCCAAAATAGGGGAAACCAGGAATTGTTTTCTTTCTGCTTGCTGCATCTAAACATAAAATTCCCTGGGCTACTTTCTCCACTGTCGGGAACCAAATGTTTGAATTTACTTAAAAAAAGAAACCAAAGAAACAATTGAAGTGGCTACATAATCATACATTTAAATAGTATTAAATCCAAACAATATACTGGTGTGTTGTCAACATCTGCAAAAGGTAACCACGAGTTCTTAGGATACAGAAATCTTAAATGTTGCTAAAGTTTTCTGAGAATGTTAAGCAATAAAACCCATGTTTTTGTCAAGGAGTATCTGTTCATCAAAAAGATTCCCCAAAATTTGATTTTAAGTGTACACAAAGATTTCCAGGACCCAGAAATTTCATCAAGAAATCAATTCTTGTGTTATCACTTGCTTGTAGTACAGAGATTACTGCATCTAGGATATGTAAGACCTGAGGTCACATCACTTCTCTACTGTACTTGAAATTCTGTGCTGTATGTTTCTGGGAAATACCAGCTACTTAAGACATAGATCTGATTTCTCTGCCAAAGGCTATTTGCTTCCCTTGTGATGTAGTATAAACTGTACATCTCCCACTGAAGTAAAATAGAATCTGCATTTGGCCTTCTTGAAAGACGTTGATGTCAGAGTGACAGCATTCAGTCAAGTGAAAGACCAGGCACAGTCTTAACATGAACCTTTGTGGGTGTAGCAATGGAACAAATTGTGCTTTTATATGGAATGGTCTCAAAGATACAAACCATCTCTTGTTCTACAGATCTTTTTGTCTCAAAGCTACTTTTCAGAAACAAAAATTCAGAGGTTTCAAGAGCAGAAAGAGAATAACTTACCCCTTTTTTCTTTCTTTTTTTTTCTTTTTTAAGAAATGTTTAGAAGTTTTAGAACTTGTTATTTCCCAAATGAAAAAGCTCCCTGCACTGATGAACTCTAAAACTTCCCAAAATTGGGATATATGCTCAACTGTGTGTTGAAGGGTGTCTGAATTCTATTAATGTTAGCTGGCTACTTCTGTCTATACAGAGTTAAATCTATGATGGCTTTGGATAAACCTCAGCTTGGAGCATGTGGGTCTGCTGACATTTTAAAAGCTTACAATATGCAGGAGTGCCTGGCTACACTGGAAAATGGAAGAGGCAAAAGATAGCAATCCCTGATCTAGACCTGAAATCTCAAAAAAATAAAATAAAATAAAATAAAAATAATAATATATATATTTATATATATATATATATATAATTTTTATATATATATATATATATATATATATATATATAAAATTGAATGCTGAACAAAGTATGCAACTTTGGTATCTTACAGGAAATAAACTGAGACTCAAGCACTGAGGAACAGTGAACTTTGAGGAGTTATAACACTGTAGCTTGCAACTTGATACTCCTATTAAGTGTATTATTTGTTCCATAAATTAAACTGCTCTTTTTCAAGTCTCAGCTCTTTCAGAGAGTGCATTCTGGTTGTTTAGTATTGGTCCATTGGGTACTTTCATCACTTTAATATTAGAAATGCAAAGCATTTTATTTTAAATAGATTCTAATGAATTTTGTAATTAAAAGATTTTTACTTTATTTTTTTTTCACAGAAATTACTTCATGCTTGATAGCAAGAGGCCATGGCACACATTTAATGTTTATTTATCCAAGTGGCAAATCACTGACAATTTATGCTGGGTCTAGCTTTACACAATGGGGTTACTGTGGCTGTTACAAACTTTAATTATGGAGGGCTAAGTCAGAGGCCCAGACTGTGTTGTGGTATCATAGAATGGCTTATGTTGGAAAGGACCTAACCAGTGATTCATTGTACTCCTGTCAGTTCCCATGTTGTGTGGTTGCTTAATACTGAATGCAGAGGGAGGAGTGGATCTGTTGACTAATCAAAGACAGAAGTTAGGTCTGGTGCCAGCAGGGTCACGTTGCAACTTTCCACACTGTTTCTACAGCAGAACTTTAAACATTTTCCCTTAAGAAATGGCAGAGATGAAATCTGTGCTCTGCCCTGGGCTGCAATCCATGTTGTCGTGCTTGGTAACTACTTGTGCCTGCAGTGAAGTCACACTAAAGGACTGGAGCAACCTGATCTGGTAAAAGATGTCCCCTCCCCATGGTTAGGAGATTGGAACTAGATGATCTTTAAAAGTTTCTTCCAACCCATTTTATGAATTTATAATTGCTATACTTGGCAACTACATGACAAATGGGAATTGTGGATACTGGGCCAGATTCTATGGTAAAATGGGATGATGATGGAAGATGACGAATCACTGACACAGCTGTAGTCCTGCGTGTGGGTAGGAAGGCCAGATTCTAGCTTGTGATGAATGAAATAATAGTGAAGTACCTTTACGGGGTGGGGGGGAGAGGGGAGCACAAAATAGGGAGGAGGGGATTTGTACCAGTTCTGAAGCTTGTACTGTGGATTCTAAAGTGAGTTTGTTTTCTAAAGTGACTTGCACTACTGTGCATGGACTATCATGAAACCCCTGATGTGCAGCTACTGAAGTTGCATCTGAAAGTGGGAGTAAGGCTAGTGTGGAGTTTTGCATAGATGAGTACTGAAGAAGATAAGCCCGGTCTGCCCATCTCCAGTACGGAAACTGCATCAATTTGGTTTTCAGTCCTAGTATAGCCTGTGGGAAGGGTGTATCTAATGCACTCTGGGTCTATGTCTGTGTCCTCAAATAGCAGCCTGGATGAAAATGTGGTGTAAAATAGTAGGAACTGAAATTAAAAAAAAATGTCAAGTGTATTTCCTGGATGAATGGCTACTTCTAATAATGCTGACATATAGCACTGGAAAAGGAGAAAGACAGCTAGGTAAGTGCTTCAAGCTGTGCTCATCACAGTGTGACTGTGTTTAACAGCGTAGCTCCCAGACACAACGTGCCAACTCTGCAAACTTTGAAAGCTGACTTTTCACACACAGCTCACGCTTGTTTCTAGTTCCACAAGAAGCCCCGTCAAGTTACTATTCATGCAGATATATGCATGAAATGGCTTGTCGCATTTGCTACCCAGTGGGCTTTCAGATTTGGTCCTGACCTTAAGCCCTGTAATGATGGTAAGGGATCTTGCTATTGCATCCTGTGGACTGGATCAGGTGTTCAACATGTTGGCCTCAGAGAGAATCTTTGGTGGAAACTGAAAGGGCAAAAGTCAGCCTTTCACCTTTGGCTGTACTCAGTTACGAAGTGCAATTCCACCCAGCTGCTGAGTGTGGTTATAAGCTGAAGGCTCAGCTCTATGTAGCCCTGCTCTCCCATTGCTCTGCCAGACTACTTTTGCAGCAGCTTTCATGAGGTGTTCAGCTTCAGCTTGCTTCCTCCATCTCCCTCCCATGTGCCAAAAATGTGCCAGTTACAGAACAAAGGAAATATCACAGAGTCAGTTTGGTGGGAGAGCTACAGAGACCAGCAATTACCTTCTGTTATCAGTGTGGCTGTGCTTTCTGTCATGTTATATTTCACATTTGCATAGCTGTGTGTATTTGCTCTTTCATCGCTGTTGTATGCAAGCTGTAATCAGTTCATTTTATGGCTGTCTTCAGCTAAATTCTTTGTTGATTTTAACATGACAGAAGTTGAAAAGATTACATATTATAAATAGATAATTAATATATCAGCACAGCTTGTTGCTCTCTGTCTCTCCATCTCTTTATGAGAATCAGTTTTAATGTTTCCTTTCCCTTTCTCTCCTCTATGGAGACAGCCTGAGAATTAAAATGAAGCCTGACAACTTGATTAAAATTTCACCTGATATGTTTCTGTTTTAAAGGAGGATTCCTCTGTCTTGAATAAATGGATCATGTGTAAAGAATGAAATCACAGGTCTGTTCCAGGTAGGGTAATTTTTTAAATTTTGACCACAGCTTAGGATATATTTATATACTAGGATTTTCATTAAATGAATAGACGTGGTGGAATTGGCTTCAGAGTTGTACATTGGGAGTTGTACAGTTTTTATTTTTGAATGGCAAGATGAAGCACTAAGTTGCACAAGTTGCAGATAAGGTTAGAATTAAACTCATGCATCCTAAAACTTCTGTTTCTTTCTGTCACCTGAACATCTTTTTACTCAAATCACAAGTAATATCCATAATTCATGAGTTAGAAAGAGTCAATTTTACTTCAGTTTGTAGAAATATAAGAATTTTTCAGTTGATACAAGAATTTCTGCAGATTTAAGCCCCTTAAGTCTGCTGTTCTTAGCTACCTTCCATAAATCCTTTAAGAGTATTTTATGGATCCAGAGGTCTTGTGGCTCTGCTATGGAAAACCAATGCAGCACAAGCTCATTTCTGGGGCTTATGAAGACCTTCCTTCAGCTTTAAATAAAAAGCTTAAATGCTAACATCAGAGAAGAATAGTGGATAATAGGACAGATATCTCTATGATCTCTTTAAAATTCACAAGTCTGGTCCCTTTGCAAATAGTATGCTTGCTGAAATGAAATTTTCATTCTTTTCCCATCTCTCATGATACCATCCTCAACCTTCCCCACTAGGCAACACTGTAAAGGACCAACCTTTGTTGCACAGGGTTCAGGAAAACCTGGCAAGAACTCAAATGCTGTGCTTATTTTGATCCCTGGCTTTTCCTCCTGATACAAACCTTGCTAAAGCGAGCTGAGGTACAAGTGAAATAGGGCTGTTTCCATCACTGTATATATGTTTATCTGCTTGCAGAATGCAACGTGTCAATAGTCAAAGATAGAAAAAATATCTAATAAAGACCTCAAGAGAAGGACATAATGCAGAATAACACAAAAGAGATTTAAACATGAGGAAGATGTAATATCTGAAGGAGTGCAGCAGAGGAACTAAAAACCCCTGGATCCCCAAACCAAAGCTCACACCACCTTAAGCAGAGTTTATGTAGATTAACATCTTTTAAATGGTCAGAATTTAGTTTCAGTTGATCTTTTCCTTCTGGGAGACAAATTCTGTCCATAATTACAACCTGTCTAAATTTTTTTCATTTCAATTATGTAGTAGTACTCGTGAAGATACACTGACATAAGAGACAGGCATTGCTGCGTACTTTGAATATAATGCAATTAATATTAGTGCTTGACCTCAGTGACTTCAGCATTTCTAACAGTCCAGACTGGGAGTTCACAACGGATGAGGGAAGTGTGAATGTAATTTACCTCTGCTGATACATACCCTCTATATTGTTGAATAATAATAATAACAAAAAAAAAACAACTCCATAGTGTAAAATTGTGATGAGACATTATAGGTTTTAATGATAATTCATCACAACAATTTTTCAAGGATTCCTCTGTAATGAGAGAACTTTGAGAACCCAAATGCAACAGTTTAGAGGATAAAAGTGCATTGTATGAATTTTTTGTTTTGAAAAATCCCAAAATGCTGCTGCGTGAAATCACTCAAAAAACACTTTGGAGACTTTCCTTTCTCGTTAATGAATAAAGCATTTCAAAAGAATCTCCTGAAAGGAGCTTGCATTTGTTACTAATCCTTTTGACCTCTGTTAACTATTCTGCAAATCTCTGATGTGCTGTAGTTCAGTAACTGGGCAGCCTTCTCAGTTTTGTGGTTTTGATTCTTCTGCCTTTAATGTAAGATAAAACAGTGTGCTTGGTAGGAAATGATTTCCTGAAGATTCCTACTAAAATAGAGAAAATTTGAATGCACAGCAGTCATATTAAAATGTTGGCGTGAAGGCCTTTTGGTGGTACCCAAATAAGTGTAAAATGTGCTTTGAAAAAAGAAACAAATTCTCTGGATGAATTTCAAAAGTTCAGAGCTGTCCTTGTTACATTTTGAATAACAATGATGATGCAAGCAAAACAACACAGTTTTTCTTTAAAGTCCGATTCAAAATCTCAGTGCTATTTACCTCTTGTATATTTAAAATGGAGCTGAGGTTAGTCTAATTAATAGAGCTGGTCAAAATTTGTGATAATTTCTGCAGGTGAAACTGCAGTATTTTGACACTTTGTCCTGGATTACGTGGCAGAGTCTAGAGTATTAAAATGAAGCTGCCTCTATCTCCTCCATTGCACAGTTGAATCTGAAAAAAGTAGTTAGATATTACTGTGGTAAGACTGGTAGCTGGTAAATAAACTGGAAAGTGTACATTAGTACCCATGGCAGCGATGAGCAACAGCAGACAGAACCATGAGGTTACATGCAGAGAACTCCAAACTCAGCAGGAGCAGAGCTCTGTACTCACTGATGCAGTCTTGGTAGCAGGCAACCATCAAGCTGATAGTGCGTCATGTAAGAGATAATTTAGCCTTGTAATTATGGGAATATTAAGTGCATAATCGCGTTTATTCATTTAATTAAGTTTGGCAAGTTTGTCCTATGACGTTAGATATCAATTGCTAAAGATACCCATTTACATTTAATAAGCATAATTTGTGACTTGCCTTATTTTGTTATTTGCCAAGTGAACACCTAGAGAGCCCTTTTAAATGGATTAAGCAGGAATATAAGCTTAATGCATTGCAAGAGCGTAATTGTACTTTTATTGCTCATTAAATTTTGAGTTAATTATGTAGCAACCAGGTTTATGTTTTATTATATCAAACCTCAATCTGAGGGCAGTTAGAACTAATCTGAAGGAAGGAAAACAACTTCCAAATGTACTCTATGAATCCTATTTCAAGAATGTTTGTTCAAGAAAATCCACAGTTCTGTTTATTTAAGAGAAGGCAGTAATCCACTGCTGTGGTCATCCAACCAGATGTGAGCAGCAGCACTCAAATGAAGGCTCCTGTTCATGACAGTTTGAATCTACCATTTAAGAACCTCCTTGAGTGAAGCATGGGGATCTTACTGTTGCAGATTCTCCTTTCTCAGAGAGGTGGCCATGTTTTCTTCCCTTTCCATCCAAGTTCTGTCATATTTTGAATCTGTATTTTGCTCTCTTCTTTACTGTCAGCTAAAATAGTCTATTTTCTTTCCTTTGGTGAATAGTCTGTCCTGGGTGAATTCCTGTTGTCTAAATAGATGTTGGAAAGTTTAGTGCAAAGAAGTTACCAAAAATCCCTGAAAAGAGATATGTACATCCAGAAAGGTTTGGTGTTTTTCTTTAAATTTCCTTGATGTTCTCTGGCATGTCTCTTAGTATACTATCTCCTCTATTTTTACAAAGACAACAAAGTTAGCAGATGAGTTGAGGTACTCTTGTTTATATGAAGCCATTCAAAGTCAATGGAGAACAATCTCATTTGCAGAGTGTTGGCAATGAGATACTAGGGTGGAAGAGAGATGGAGAGAAATTCTCACCACAGTGATCTCTAGGAAAATAGAATCGGATCCAAAAATCTACCCAGGAGCTCCTTGATTATTACTTTTTTCTTTTTTTTTCCAATGATTTCACACTGGTTTAGGTCAGACCATTGCAAACCTGTTTCACTTGCCCCGGGTTGCCCCAAACTGTGTGTCCTGGCTATGGAATATGGACTATGTAGTTTCTGTCCTGCATTCTTAATGACTATGAGCTTGGAAATGCTGTAAGGTGCATGAGAGATCTGAGTAGCTTTAGAAGTTTACAGTACTAACAGCTGTGGTAATACGCAAGGAGTATTTTCAGAGAAAAGGCAGGTTTCTGATTTCCACAGATAAACATTAGTGGCTTTCTTTGCACAGCTGGAAAAGAAAGCAACAACTTTCAGGAATTTCTTTCCATGTGAGTAATCAAAGCAATTATTCAGATGTGAGCAACTCTATGACATTTCATAGGGATTTACTTATGGGACAAGTACCTGAAATTATTTTTTTTTTCCAGTTTAGAAGGCTAAGCATACATGATTTGCATAAATTAGTTTTGTGGTGTTTAGCAAATCTAGATGTGACCTACTGTCCTTCTGAAACCTACTCATTTTAGACAGGCATCTTTTTGATGGAACTCTTTGATTTTGCTAACAACCTCAGTGACCTGAACTTCAGCATTTCAAAAAGTACTTTGCCAGATGCTGTACGTACCTGGCATTCCTGAGGGAGACTGTTAAAAAAAGATTGTGGAACCTCTACACACAAGCTTTTGTTGGATAGACCTCCAATCCAGAATTTAATGTTATCTGTCTAGGTGTGAACAGAGCTGTCAATGAAGCAGAAAACAGGACACAGTTGATAGAACAGTGAAGTTAAATACAGATAAAGCAACTTTGTTGCAAAGCCAAAAAATTCCATTTGAATGATTCCAGCGTAGTAATTTTAATCCTGCTAAGATTAATCTTTTGGAAGTGTAACCAGGAATGAATTTGCTTCCAAATAATGTGGGTTTTGTTTTGTAGAACATGTATTATTAGGTTCCATGGAAATAATCTGTTTAAAGTGATTTAAACCACACGCTTACTACAGTACCTAGAATTTGAAGAGTTTGGTATTCAAAATGCTGGTTTCAAATCAACATATTACAGACGGTTGCTTAGATCTCAATCCTGTCAAGAACTTTCATCAAAGCCAGCACTAAGCTTTGCCTAAGATTCCAGGATCACACCTAAGTACTACTCCACAAATGCAACTTAAATAACCTTTTCTTATGGTTGATTTTGATGGAGTCACAGATTCATTTGCAAACCACACCATAAAAGATTCGTGCTATCAAATACATGGGAACCCTGAGGCAAGGTCATGGCTGATATAAATTTCTGCAGCAGCATATATTATGTCAATTTGTGTCATCTGAGAACATGACTATCTCTTTCCTTAGAAAGGCAAGTTTATGCTTTCCAGTATAGCAAATAGACTGCGTAAGTAGGTGGGTTTTTTGGGGTTTTTTTTTTTGAGTTAGCTCCATCCTGCACCTCAGATGACATAAAATTGAAAGCTACATGGCACTGGCTTGGCAATTGGACTTCTACCTAAGGAAGTTCCCAGAATCTCCTGCAAGTATATAATGTGTCTCTGCACTTTCACTCTTGGCAGAGATGACTTAGGTTAGTAAATTCCCGTCTCTTTTAATGCCTAAAGCCTTGATATTTTCCTGGCTGAGAAAGCAGAAATGAAAGAGTTTGTTATTTTTTTTTTTTAGTTTGTGGAACCCTCAGGATTGGTCTAATAGTTGTTATTGCTATCGATGTCCAATGCCCAGAGAAGCTGGAAAAGTGAAGAGTATTTCAGTCTGTAATCTCTTCAGCTATATCTGAGCATCCATATTTAGCAGGTCTTGCAAGAGAAGTATAAGGGTTTCAGGCAGATGGCTGGGGAGTGACTGAACTGAAATTCAGCTAACTGAATAGGATGTGGAAAACTACTGGATGTGACGTGAGAAATTGCTGGATGTGATAGATGGTGATACCAGAAGCTGACAATAGATACAGCCATCTCTATCTATTGTCACAGTCACAGTGGGGTGACTGTACTGCACGGGTGTTTGAGGAGAAGCTATGGGAGAAAGATGAACCTCATAAGAAATTGAAGAGAAGTGCCAGAGATTTCAGGGAAAGTCAAATCTTGTCAGTCCACCGGTATCAGAAAAAACATATTAGTAACAGCATATAAGAGGTACCAAATTTGGGTATGATTATAGCAAAAACAGGTCTAATGCACAGCAAACAGTCATAGGTGGATTGTTTGTTTGGTATGTAACTGGTGTGGATAAAGGAAAGCATGTTTTTGGTGTTCTAAACCTTGTCACTAGCTACTGGAAGAAAACACAAAAAAGCTCAAAATCTTAATTTGAGGTTTAACAGTAATGCCAGAACAGTATCACAACTCTTAATCAGGCTATATTCTGTGAAAGCAGTTTAAACATTTCTGGCATGCTTCAGGAACTGAATTACAGGTTGGGTGAACATACTACAGCTTGATTTGAAATAGGACTCCTGAAAGGAAAAGGAATGGTGAGGAAGAGAACAAAAGGAAGTATGAACATGTGAGATTGTAGAAATAAACTCCATGAGAGGAAATGAGTCTGAGCTAGAGATTTTAATTTAAGTACCTCGTTTAATTGTACAGGACAAAGTCCAGGAAAATATTCAAGCAATTTCAGTAACACAAAGTCATACTTTCATTTATCTCCTAGTAATCTGGCATACAGTTTCTTCCAGCTTCTGTAAGAAAAAGGTTCAACCCAAAATGTCAGATCTCCCCTTCTGAGTGTTTCATTTTTCTGGACAGATTCCGAAGTTGCAGATTGCATGTGGCCAAACACACCTTTCCAAAATGAGATTGCCAGAGTAAAAGTTATGTTAAAGGACAGGAAGTAAAGTGTTGATAAGATGACCTGTAGCTTGTGATGGATTTTCTTTTTAGGAAACTATAAAAGCTTAATTACAGAGGTAAAATGTCACAGCATAACACTGCTTTTGATGAAAATGAAAGATATCTGGTTTTTGTGTGTTCAGGCAACTCATGAGCATACCTAGATAAAATATGTAAGAAATTTTTATTTCTATTAAAAGAAGCAGTAAGTACAGCTTGATATATTAGATTAATGTTCAGATTCCATCTTATTATAAGGAGCAGCTCATTCACATTAAGCTATCATCATGTCACATCTAGTAACTTAAAACTCAGGGTCCATAAGACTTCTAAATTGCTAGGAGAAATAATATAGCTAATTCAGTAGGCATTACTCTTTTTCCCTTAAAATTAAAATCAGCCGTTCTCTCTATCGTGGTGCTAACTTCTTTGACTTTTTGGGATTGCCATCAGCAAAGATGAAAAATTCAAGTCTCAGCAACTGGTGTTCACAAAGCATTAAACTGTACTTTTCATGAGCATAGTGATAGAAATTCTCTATGCATTGCATATTGAATGATTACTGCCTATTTGACTGCCTTACGCTTTCCATTAGGTGGGCTAGTCCTCTTCTGATGCAAAGCTTTCAGGCGGAGTTGCGGTGTGCTGTTAAGCAATCATGTTCCTCTAAGTGGTGCATGAAATGATCCCTGTTCTTGCTTTATTAAGTGTTGCACACAGCTGAGGTAGCACTGCGATTAGTGCCTTCGGTTCTGTGTTCATCTTTGTCATGGTTCAAAGCTGGTAGCTGTACTGCGCAGGCAGCGGAGCCAATTGGTGCTGCTGCTGCTTCAGTGCTGCTCAGGAGGCGAAGCGCACGAAGCAAAGCGCATCATGAGTATGACATGAAGCGTTGCATGTCCTACTACTGAAGTGCTGACGCATCAAAAACTATCTGCCTCATCTCTGCATAGGCTCTAAGAGTAGAATAGTTGATCTAACTAGTAATTGTGTGAAATCTAACTAGTAATTGTTTGTAAAACAAACACGCTCACCTGGGAAATAGCAATGCCTTGCTTTGAACTCTTCCAAGTCATCTTTTGTCTAGATACTATGATCTAAACCTCTGCCTTTTTGTATTGTCTGGAATCACCTATTTGCAACTCTTCATTGAAAGATGTCTGCATGGGTTGATCATTGCCTCTTTTATTTGTTTACAATCTCTTTATATATTTGAATGTAATGATGCATTTGTACTACAAAAAGCAAAGCAGATTCATGTGACTTATCAATCCATGTCTCATTAAACACGTGGCACACAAGTATCTGAGGCAACCCCATTTCATATCCATACGTTGAGATCTTTTGCCTGCAGTGTTTCATCAACAGGATCTAATTAGGGTGAGAATTTGTCTTGACTGCTCGCATGGTATGAGAGCGGAGTACAGAAAAGCCACTTTGGTTATTAAATATGAGGAAACCAGATTTCAGACTTACTTTATTACTAACATAACCTTCTCCAAAGCTACCACACTGTAGACAGCTGTCTGAAAGCCTGCATACGGTAATACTGATAAAACAATGACACTAGGTGATAAGTGGGGAAAAATAATGTTGCCCAGACATGATTAAACATCCATGACAGGTAACACAGCACTATCTCACTTATGTTTCAGTTATTTCCCATTGTTGTATGGCTCTGAAGAGCTAATAATTAAAGAATGGGTCTTGCCATTCATTTTGCCTTATCCCAGTGATTATTGCCTTCTTTATTTTATCAGAGATGGCCAATTTCTCCTCAGGTTCTCTTTCATTCAGCATGCCGACTGTCTTCTGGAACATATTCTTTGTAAATAATTGTGTAGGTTCAACTCTTTCTATGTAAGGTTGGGTGATGTGGTGTAAGTTTTACTTACACTTGTGATCATATTCATTTTTTGCTTTAATATATTCACCATGCTTTTGTATGTTAAACTGAAGGGCACCTTGCCTTAGAAACAACCTACTACTTTCAGATGAAAACTATGCAAGCAAACATAAAGCTGGAGAGACAGCATCAAAATTTGCAGCTTCAAGAGCTTTTAAATAAAGAAAGGACTGAAACAACCACACTGCTATAAACCCCATATCACCTGCTAATTGCTCCTCATTCTTTGGACTTCCACAAAGCCCACCAAGGGGTCTTTCTCCTCTAAGCCTTGTCATGTTTGCTCACTCAATAGTTCTTTTCATCTTGCTGAAGGACCGTTTACCGAAACAGTAGATTTACCTGACTCTTTCAGCAGAGTTCAGCAAAACATTAGGCAGTAATCAAAGTGCTCCCATGTCTTGAAGGATTCTGCACTAGAAGCAGTGCAGCTGATGTCAGAATTTACTTCGTTACTAGAAATATTACCAGTTTTCCCCTTAAGGTATTGAAAAATAATGCTTCATAGAATAGACTGATTTAACAAATAAATTTATCTTAATTTATTTATGGACTTTTACAGACGCTGCATATCCAAGTGACTTGCATGAAAACAGGTTGGGGAAAGAAAATCGTTTGTACGGTGATCGTTTCTTCTATGATAGCAGATGACTTAAATGCCTCTCTTTCTTTAAAGCGAAACTGTAAAACCAGTGGACATCCAGGAAATCCATTCTGTGCACAGCTCATTTTCCCTCCTGAAGCTGATGGAGTACGTGCCACCCAGGTACCTCCCCAGCAGATGATGTAGCAGTGCACAACAAAGACTTCACACCACTGAGTGGAAATGGAACTCTTGCAATATAATCTGATCACTTCCTATGGACAATCCATATATGGAGCAGGCTGAAAGGGCCTCTGAGCACCCTGATATATCTGTAGGTGTCTGCATTCATTGCAGGGGACTTAGACTAAATGGTCTTTTAAGATCTCTTGTAACTCAAATGATTCTGTGAATGTGAGATTTGGCCCTAATTTTCGAAGGTCACATTCCTATCTTGCTTTGTAAAGATCAATTCCACATTGTCCCTCACTACCTGAAATCTTCAACGAGAAATTCTATAATGCTTATTTTAAAATTAATCTCCTGGCCATCCTTTAGATTGACATCTTTATATTTGTGCTGTAGGATGGTTTGAAACTGGGTTATTTCCTTTTGCACTCTGGAATCAATTAAGGAAAAAAAAAAAAACCCACACACAAAACTGATTAATATTCCAGGCCATCCATTCTTATAGTTTCAAAAACCCTTTGCACACAAATTCATGCTTGGTGTGTCCCAGGAAGCGTTTTGTTCTGCTTGCTGGAGGCCTTATGTGTAGATCATATTTCTCTCCCAAAGCAAAGTATGATTTTATTTTTCTTAGGCATTGTTAAGGAGTATTTATTGTTCTCCTGGAGAAAAGGGGGAATTTAAAGAGAGTATCCTGGAAAAAACTCTATCGTTAAACTAAAGCTGTTGTGCATTACAATGAAATGCTGTACCTGTGAAAGTATGTGACATTCAATATCCAGCAAATTCATTGTTATTACTGTACATTGAATGTCAGATGAATTCATAACGGTGGTATATTGAAGGTAAGATATTATCCCAGATTCAAACAATGTGGTTCTACTGACAACTCACGCTAGCCTTCAGGGCAGCGGATGGCACTTTCAGAGCTCGTTGGAAAGGATTTTTTAGTGCTCCTGTTACCTCACTTATAAAAACAAATGGCATAGGAATGGAAGGGTGATCCAAAGCCGCATGAGGTCAGTGTGGGTTTTTCCTTTGACATCAATGGGCTGAGGATCGAGTCCGCAGGGTGGAGAGGGGAGGAAGGAAGGAAACAATGTTAGAAGAGAAATCAGTGAAGAAAAACTCTCCATTACACTTCCCTTGGGTATTTTTTCGTAATAGCTTTCCGGCTGGATTTAGCACTCTGCCGAGTGGAGAGAAAAACACAACAGCAGCTTGCTACTGCAGGAAAAGGGCAGAATGAAGTTAAAAACAATTCCTTAGCACTATTAGATTGGTTTAATGCAATCTCTGTTTCCTTTTATTTGCTTATGCCCGTGAAGATGGAAATGGTCAGGCCACTGGGAAGGGGATAACGTGGTGGTGTGTATGGGCAGAGCCCCACTAGAGCAGCTACACCCATGGGAAGGACCATATCTGCAGCACCTCCACAGTGACAAGAGAGGAATGTAATATGTACAGAGTACGTGGCAGGGGCTGTGCAAGGCATTAGCTCTGAGAGTGAAACAGTTTAGAATAAAGCCTATTTCTTTTTTTCACTGAAAAGTGAGTCTGGTAGGTTATTCTGGATGATTTAGAGCTTTTTGCTCTTAGTGCATTATATCATCAACTGGAGTGGGAAATTATCTAGATTGCAGTGGAATGATTTTCTTTTTTGCTTAAGAATATAGATTGCCTCATATACTTGCTATTGAAAAAAAAATGTTCAGTGAGCTAAATAGGCCTAAATAGAGTTTTCCTTTCTTTTGATTTTCTTTCATCACTCTCTTTATTTGCTTTTGAGGGCTTTTTCTCACCATTTTCTCCTCTCTTTACTTTTCCAGTGCCGTTTCTCTTTCTTACACTTTTCCTAGAACAAGCATGGATGCAGACTTCTTGTTTTCTCCCCACTTTCCACCCATAGTTTTAAACTACTCTCGATTTGTGTCCTCTGTTGGCATCATTTATGGTCTTTTATTGTGGTTGTTGTTTACCAGCACTTCTTAGTATCAGTAAGAAATCAAGTCACAAATAGGGGAGGTCTTAGCTAGTCTGTTCAGGCAGGTGCCTCTTGATTTAGTAGGGAGCTACTAAGCACCACATCATTGATTCACTTTATATAATTCTCATGCAGTTTCCCTCTGTTTGCTGTATCAGTAGGAGGCCAAGCATTTAAAAACCAATAGGTCCAGTTTTCTCTTCATTAATGAACGTACTCTCAGCAGCCTCAGTTGTCTCAACTGTAGGACCAGAATGCACTCTCTGGGACGTGCCAGTACATCACCAGGAGGTAAGTTTCTCTCTGATTTAGTCAGTGCACACTAGGGATTAAGGATATTTTACCGTTGGAGTATAAAACTAACTTGAATCTAGCAAACTGAGGCTTGCTCACTGAAAGTAAAAAGCCCCCTCAGCACATTAAGAGATTTGTGAACTACTTATGAATATTCCTGGAATATCTGTGGTGAGGAAATTCTTTGTACATTTGCTCCAGGTTGAAAAGTCTACCTATTACTCTATTGATACTTTTATTTTCAATCATAGATATATTGTCCATGTCACATTCAAGAAGAGTCATAACATACGCTCTGCTGAAATAACAAAGAAATCCAGAAAGATCAGGAGGCAAAATGTTGGTATGAGAATGGAAAAAATATTTCATTGTTGATGAAAATGCAAAAGCTTTCAGGTTTCTGGCTGTTCCAGGATGAAGGCAAGTAGAACGTGAAAGAGAATTCTTCCAATTGCTGTAAACTGCAAACCAAGAAATTTAGCAATCCACACAGCCTGAAATGTTGAGTTTATAACAGCATTTCTCAAGATATGTCATAGAAACAAAGCACCACAAGCTATATTTTTGTCAAGCAGTGAGTAAGGTCAGAATGCACTTGGATTCTAAACCCTCAAGGGAAATCCAGTTTCTGTAGGAAAGGCTTGACTCTTTCACTCTAGTGGAAGAACGTGCACTATAAATCATTGTTCTGACAAAATGAGCAAATACAAGCTTTGGGGTCAGTTTCTAAATAACACTTAAGCTACTGCTGAACAGTAACAGTGTGTTGCTGGAAATCGTACTACAGGAAGATCAGAAACTACTGCCAACTTCTTGTCTAAGTCTCTGTCTTACTGAGGTTCTTTGTTAGCTGTTTTCAAATGATATTTTTAAGTCATATATATAAATGAAAAGGACATTCATCTAATTGAGTCAACTGCAAAATCAAAATGTGAAAAAGTACAGGGACTCACCAAGGGAGATCTTGAGAAGAATCTGAATCTTCTGAGTTTCACTCGAATGTCCTTGTAACTGGATCAGACATCTACTTCTCGCTGCAATGTTTGTGTACTTTTACAAAGTGGTTAGAAAATGTTGCTCTAATGACCCAGATTATGGTCTCACCCCATGATCATTTGCATCTGGATAACTTAAAAAAAAACAATAAACAGAAGATTTCTGTATTTCATAAGAGAAATTCAATTCAAAAACCAAGAATGTTCTGTACTGGCTCAATGATTTCAAGGACGCTTCATCAAAAATGTGTATGATACTCCAAATCCAAAATTTTGATATGGGGCCAATTTTCAATGAGTATACTTAGGTTTTGGATTCCCCCCACATAATACATTTAAATTAGATTGAAGGAGACTCTGTCCTTGGCAGACTTTCCAGAGTCTGAGCTGATGTAATAGTAGCTCTCTGGCAAGTAAATTCATGTGAGAATGGCCAACCATTTACTATTATACTCTTTGCCAGCCTTCTAAAACATCAGATACACTATCTCAAATTCCCTGTCAGTATTGTAGAGTGCTGGTAGAGATCTCCAACACAATCACAGGGGGCCTAAGGTAGTCTATGTTGCAGCAAGAGGAAGTCTTGCTTAAGTCTGTAATATACTTTTCACTTCTGAGTTAGGCTTGTTCTGGGTATGATTTGTAACCTAGCATTTCTGGCCTTCTGGGTGCCTTTGTCATATTATAAATGCATGTTGTGGTTGCTAGTTATGTTTACTGTATTTGCTGCCAAGCAGTGGTATTGTAGATGGCACACACATGGGAATGGTGTAGAAACTTTAGTTAGAATTTTGTGGCACCAAACAATGCCTTGTTCTTTTTACTGTCTTTGGCTTTGTAAAATTATCTTTCATTTCAGTAGTAAGAACCATTGTTCCAAATGTTGCATGGTAGCTTTCCTTTTTTATGTTATATTTTGGCTGTTTTAAGGTTAATAGCTTCCTCTGTAACCCCCCCCAACCATGTGTATGCAAACTACATTATCCTGCAGAGAGGAGAGAGGGTTTAAATGCTGAGGACCAGCTGCTGTAGACAGACTTCCCTAAAGATCTGAAGTGAGTCTCAGACTTTTCCTTTGACTTATTAATGATGCTAGTGGGAAATCAGCCATTCCTAACATACCAGCTTCTCTCATTTGTATATCACTTCACTTATCAACAAGAATACAAGAAAGGCTACAGAAAGTCAACCAAAGCTCCTCTGAGCCCAGTGTCTGGACAGTGTCCACCAGCTCCCTGGACATGTTCGAGGATGGAGGGAGATATTAAGGTCACTCTGATATGTGTCTCCAGCTGGCTTCCTCTCTTTCAGATTTGTGACCATAAATCTTTTCTCACTTTTTTTTTTCCCCCCTCTCCTGACATCACTTGGCTTTTTCTGTTTCCCCATGCTAGCTCTTGCTTTTCTAGAGAGGTCTGATATTTTTTTCTTAGGGCTTAGTGTCAGCCTGATAATATATGCAGTAGTGGGAGGAGATGTTATTTAGGGAGAACATGAGAAGCAGTCTGCTGTTTGTAGCACTCACATCTGCGCAATAGCAGAGAGGAAGGATTGGGTCAGATCCTTATTTTCATTTAATAACTCCATGTGAATTTTCCCACCAATGACTGACTGTTATGCAGTGCTTCTTATCCAGCCTCTCAGAGCTAAATGTGGTCAGGCAGATTGTTCAAGAAACTCACAGTCCATCTGAAATAACACAAAGTTAAGTTACTGAGATATCTGAACACTCCAGACCTCCTTGTTTGCCTCCAGCTGTTGAAAACTTGCTCAACTGCAGTAGGTCCAGGATGTCTTATAACAGCTTTACCACAAACACTGTGTCTTATTTGCAGTCATCCTTCACCTTCCTGGAATTCAGTGCAGTGCTGAAGCTGGGAGTAACTTTGTCTGATGAAAAAACTCCAAACAGTTCAATGTGGGTCTGCCAGTCTTCATACAGATCCAGCTAGAGCATACTTTCACTTCACCCTCAACTAACCCAATTCCCAATTTCCAGATACTAACACAAACCTCAGAAACATTCCTTGACTGTAGTCTAAACCTTGTCAATGACTTTTTTCTTATTATACTCAGCTGGGAGAACTGAAGACACTGAGACACTGACATTTTCTCCCGTCATCATCATTAGACTAGGTTCCAAGTTAATCAAATCATTTATGTGCTTTATAGTACTGCTCAAAAAAAACAAACCAAAACAAAAAAAAACCCAACCAAGCAACCTACAGCAAAAAGAATGCCAAACTGAATATGGAGGATGGCAGGGGAGTGTAACAATCTGTTTCATCACTTTTGGTGCTAGGGAAAATAGAGGATGAAGGAGACTATAACTCTGTACACTTTTGTGTATACATGTCAACAATGTGTTGTTCCTGTTAAAAGCAGTTCCTAATCCCTGCTGCATTTCATATTTTAGCTGTGATTCAAATGTGGCATGTTTACCAGATAGTCCTTCCTTATCAATACAGACCTGTTTAGAAAGCCCTGTGGCTCACCATTATAAATGAGATCACTGCAGTAGTCCAGGCTGTATTACAAGGCGACAACACCGATACAACTATTCCTGATTAGGAATAGTGCAGTGTATTTGCCAGGATAGAAATGTCATCTCTGCTCTGAGATGTAGTATGCTGAAGGGCACTTAGGAATAAAGTACTAATTTGAAAATAAGGCTCTACTGTATGCTTTAGTATTAACCCATGCTGGTGGAGGTGAGTTCCTGCCAGTTCTCTTTCCAAAATGCCAACTGCATGAAGGTCTCTAGTGTTAATGCATTGTCCCTTTTCTGATAGATCCTCCTGGGGTGGGCTTGGGGATGTTTAGTGTAGCTTTTGAGATACTGATGCTCAGTGAAATACAAACATGTTTTTTTCTATGGTAACAGAGACCATGGAGAAAGTTTGTCCTTGCTTTTGTTCTTGTGAAATAGGGATCATAGTGATTATCTTTACCACAGGAGGGACTGAAGAGTTAATAATACGTAACCAGCAGCAGTAAAGCTCAATTTTTTGAAATTCTATCTGAAATTCTTAGCTAGCACAGTATTCCCACCGCTTCTGGTGGATTGTCAGCTGAGTAAGGGTGCAGTCAGACCTCTGGTATTTATACCTCATGTGCCACAATAAATGAGAAAACAAACAAACAAAAACCTACCATCACTTTGCTATTTGTCTCTGACAGTGAACTAATTGCTGCCATGGGTTCTTTGTGTGATATTACATGCAAGTATTTATCCTGTGCA